ATTGCTCCTCACACTGAGATTCATTCAACCTAAAAGTAGCCTTGCCTGCTTTCTATGAGGCATTGCCACTCCTGGTGGTATTTCTTCTGGATCTTGGGACCAATCAGAGTTGTGACACAGTCCCTAATTTATGTTTGGGGACCCTTTGATCGAGTTGGATTTGGGCCATGGGAAAACTCTCAATTTACTTAATTTATTTCTGGCATTAAGTCCTAAAATCGAAAGCATTAGATTGAATTAAGAAGTATTCTAGTTGAATCAATGACTCAAATTTAACTGATTTAGCATGAGAGAGAGACAGAGAGAGCTTGTGCTTGCATGTATAGTTTATGAATGGTTTATCTAGGGTTTTCCTAGTATTTTATAGTTTCACAGTGCTTAGGAAAACTTACACTGTGTTTGGATGAGGAAAATAAACTCGAGATTTGGGTAAAAGTTAGAATTTACAAAATTGATATGCACCAATTCCCTTGTTTGGATTCATAAACATAGAAATTTAGAATTTCCGCGTAGGAAAAAAACTTGGAATTTGGGACCTCCAATTCCCAAGTTAAAATTTCATGTAAATAGGCGTCATTTCCCAATTTTTATAATTGAGAGTTCAAAAATAACAAACTCCATATTCAATTCCTTTGTTCTTTTAGATTAACCAAACAAGAAAATTTACAAATTCTGGAAATTAAAATCCTATCATTTTAAAATTCCTTAATAATCTTAAATTTCTTCATCCAAACATAATGTTAAGGAAATCCTCAGTGTGTAAGGAAAGTTTCTTTCTCAAGAACTAGGGTTTCCTGCACTTAGAGAAAGCTTGCTCTGCTTCGTTATATCTTGCCTTAGTTCACTCTTTCTTCCTTTATCCCTCCCTCTTTCCATCATGCTAACTTCTCTAATTTATAAGTGCAAGGATTCTTTCAAGTTCCAGCTAAGGAATTTATGGGTTTTCTTTGTCTTTCCTATTTTGCTAAAGTCTTTTCTTCTTCTTTCCATGGTCGTAGCTAGAGAGTCATTCTTATGTCTAACGTTGAAGAGGGTTACTAGCCTCATGAAGCTTGGGATTAGCACACTGCCCAGAGCATCTTCTCCGACACCATGTTCCATATACTCCATCTTTTGGTAAAGCTCCCCCTTATTATTCCCATCATTCCTATATAATCTTGGAAGGGCAAGGTTCCTTCTCTCTCTATTAATGAGGAGCGCAACTCTAGGTTAAAAGTGATCTTGTTATGATTTAGGCATCTCAGCTTTGTGCTTTGGTTGCTTCGTAAGTGTCCTATTTGGTTTGGAAGGGAAAATGAAGCTGGTTCTTTTCTCTCTCAAGCCTTTCGACGTGAAACCAAAAATCATGGGTTTAGACTTCTAGTGCTCCCAAGCAGCCCAAGGTCTTCCACAACCCTAGTTCCACATTGGCCTAGTAAACTTTTGTAACCGTCCACACTACAATCCACTTAGCAAGTCACGTTATGTGGCTTGAACTTACTTTAACATGTAACATGAATTATTTACAATGTTAATGTTGTAAAATGGCTTGACATGATAATATGCATGAATTGTATGGGTTGGCAAAATTATACAAACATCCAATTTATATTTATTTTATTGAGTGGCATAATCGTAAATCCACATACCTCTTATTTTTGCACTTTTGCATGAATTTAAGCTTGGCTTGTGATGCAGTTACAATAATTGGGCTTGTATGTGAGATTTTTGAATCCTAACAGATGGCTTTTATTTTTAAAATGGTTGTTTGTTAATAATTTTGTATACAAATTTTAGTTTTTATTAATGACGTTTGGTAACTTATTTTAATTTTTAATTTTCAAAAAAAATTGAAAAGTGAAAGTCAAAATGTGATAATCACTCTATTGAGTTTTCAAATTTTAGTTGCAAATCTTTATCTTTTGTTTTTCAATTTTTCATCCTTTTGAAAACTGAAAGTTGAAAGTATTAAATGATTTTTTAGTTTTCAAAAGCTAAACAAAATAGTTATCAAAAGACTATCGATTTTTTAAGGCTTTTTAACTAAAATGGTCTTTGAGATTTACATAAGTCCTCACTTTGGTCCTTGAGTTTGTTCACCATCAATCATTTTGGTCATTCCATAAAAAATCTCCATTAAATAAGAATACAATGACCAAAATACCCTTTATTTTTTAAAATCATATTGGCCATAATTTATTAAATTGTGGGTATATTTATCATTTTGATCCTTATTTAACATAATTTTGCACAGAATGACCAAAATGGTTGATGGTGGACAATCTCAGGATCACTTCTATTGATTTCAAATTTCAGGGATCAAAGTGATATATTATGTCAATTTCAAAGACCATTGTAGCTAAAAAATCATTTTTAATTTTGCGTTTCAGACATAAAGTTCCAAAAGAAGAAAAGATTTTATATTTATGTGCTAGGGAACGACGCCGTATTAACGGTGTAGCCTCCAAATATAATCCAACGGCAAATACGAGTGCGAGACGAACGTGTATACCTCTCTTGGAAATCAGAGGTCGCGGAGAGGTAGCGCAATGGAGGAAGAGGAGCATGAGGTGTACGGAGCAGAGATCCCAGACGAAGGAGAAATGGACGGCGACTTGGATGCTCTCCACGCCGACGTCGACATGTCCACCGCCGACGACGACGCCGTAAAGGTACTAATAAAAAACCCTAGAAAACTCAATTTGTTTCAGCAACCAAATCATAAAAAACAATTGTCAAATTATTTGGGTGTATATTGACTTTGGATTATAGGAGCTGGACGAGATGAAGAAGCGGTTGAAGGAGATGGAGGAGGAAGCTGCTGCTCTTCGCGAGATGCAGGCCAAGGTTGAAAAGGAAATGGGAGCTGTTCAAGGTCCCCCCCCTCTCTCTTCTGAAAAAGTAATTGAGTTTTGGTTCTTGATTCCTGCGGTTCCTGAAAAAGTAGTGTGTGTGTGTGTGTGTGTGTATGTATATTGTAGAATGCTGTATTTGGCCATGTTCTATTGAATGTTTATTGAAAAGCTGTAGCGCATGACATGAAATTTGAAAAAACAGAGCACAAGTTATGCGCTAAGTTAAGTGTCTTTGGAAGTGTTATGTTGATAAATTACACTCTTATTGTCCTGTGGACTTTAACATTTTACGTTTGTTTTTTTCGTCTGATGTGCAAGGAATTTTGGTTCAATTTCTTCTGAGTAACACGCTCATTTACCTTGTTTTGTTATTGTTTCCACATAGATCCTGCAATTGCTGCTGCTTCTCAAGCAAACAAGGAAGAGGTGGACGCACGATCTGTTTTTGTTGGCAATGTGAGTACCAGAATGTTGAAATCTCTTCTTCTTTCTAAACTGTTTGCATTGTGTGTGTTAAGCTTAAACATGTCCAGTCCTAATGGTCATGTTTCCCTGCTTTCTGCATTTTTTGATGTATGTCGACAGCCCACTCATAATCCTGACACTCGGCTGTGTATAAAGAAATCCTCCAGTTTGTCATGTGATCTTTATGTGAAGTTGCATAGTGTGAGTAAACATGTGGTTTTGGCAAGTCCACTACTAGATTTAGATACCAATTTGGTTTTTCAGTATCAAATAGAAGAGGATATTTTTATGATTTGATCACATATTTTGATATCTCTATCTAGTGGAAGTAATATTGATAGGCCGTTGATATCTACATTTTTGTTTAACCTTTGTATGGTATTGTTAATATTTATTGAACTGCAGTCATTGAATTAAACTAGGGAGTTGCTAATTGCAGTCCAAAATGGCATCATGCCTCTCTAGTGTAAAGAAGTCAAGAAGGGAGGAGTGCAGGATGACTATTTTCTAGTGCTAATGATGATTCCGTAGATTATTCACTTGTTAAGTAGATGATTATGGGACTTGTAATAGCAGGAACGCTTGCCTGATTTTATTAGTCACCTCCAGATATGAGGGGATCTGAAGGAACTTGTTACTTAAACACAATGCTTGGCTTTTAGTATAAAATAACTTTTATATCAGTTAGAATAGAAAAATGTTTTGTGTTGGGGACTCATACATCACTGTACAATCTAAAGGTACCCTCACATTACAGGCTATCTAGAATTTGGAAATACAGCTGTAATGTCATATGAAGATAAGTCAGAAGATTTTTAAACTTTCTAGATGTGTAATTCTAGAATCTACATATCAATGTGTACCCAAGAAAATAACAAAACCCACTACCTAACATTCTGTATGAACTTGTGGTTTATACATTAGTTGATCAACATGCCATGGTTTGACATTATTTATGCACCTCTTGATATTTACCTTGTCTTCAATGAAAGCATGCTTATTTTCCCACGAGATAAATGGTTTTAAAAAGAAAAAAAGCTTTACACCAATGTATGAAGGATGTGATGAGAAATTTGAGAGAGAATGGAGTTGTAAAAGAGAAGAAAGACAGAAGGAGAAAGAGGGGCAAGTAGGGTGAACTCAATTCTTTTTTATTTTCGGTCACAAGGGTAAATTCAATTCTTCATTATCAAATCAATGGGCCAAAAACGTATACAAAGTAGTTGGAAAACCTGAAATAACAAGGATAATAAACTACTGTAATAGCTTAATAATTACACTCATACCTGCTATTGCTTCGCATGCAAAATGTTTTATTTCTTAAATAGGTTCTTTTTCTAAATTATTAGTTGTCTAGGCTTTACCACTTCTGCATCACTAAGATTTCACTTCAAAACATCAGATATCGCTCTGTCTTTGTTGTTTTATATTACAACCCCTAATCATATACCATGATGGTAGTACGATTTCACTTCAAAACACCTGATATTGCTCTGTCCTACTATGTTTCTATTTTACTTTTATGTGGATGCGGATGATACGCAACTTCAGAGTCATGGTTTGACTTTGTGTAGTACTATGATCGCAGGGTCAGTTATTCATCAAGTTCTGTGTATATGAGCTGGACATGTTACACTGTAGTTTGAGGGTGGGGCATAGTATTCTGATGTATAATTAGGCTGTCATTAAAGGGGAGAAATTTGCATGTTGAATAAAAAAAAGAGAAGAAAAAAGAAATATCAAATAAAAAAGAAATAAAGAACAAGTTTCGAAAATGTGAAAAAAAGCATGAAAAGAAAAAAAAAAAAAAGAACAAGAAAGAATTGGAAAAAAGAAATGTAGTTTTGGAAATTACAACAGTTAGGTGTAGGTGGTATGATGTGTTAAGGAGGAAAGAAGGGATGCAGTTTGCTGAAGATATTCCAAGTGAATGGTGGGGCACGCGTTAGGATGTGAATTAAGATGCTGGATCTTCAGTACACAAGAGGGCAGCAACTTCTGTTTTCAAGAGGAAAGGAAAGCCGGGTATTCAATTGTAGTTGCAGAGCTTCTCTGCTGCTGGAATGGTGTTGGTTGGTGGCTCAGGAATATGTGCTCATGTACTTATGTGGTGAGGGGTACATGATTCTGCTTCCCTGTATTGATTAAGATTGATTTTCTTATCTGTCGACTGCGTTCACCCAAATTAAAAAAAAATTGACTGTATACTGAATCACTGATTGAGTGTGATTTCTTCTACTTGTAATATTTTTATAAATTCTGTTCACCTTAGAAACATTTCCTCGCTTCTGTGCACTCACCCGTGGTCCTATATTATAATTTTAGTGGAGGCTGTTACAGATAACAGCTTTTTGTGTTACATTGATAAGTCTTACCCATGACTTTTCTTTGTCTTGTGCAAAATTTTGTTGGAAGTAGTAATTGAAATAATGCCGGGACTGTAGGATGGAGACAGCTCCATCTTCTCAAGTTCTCTGATACTTACAGGGACCAATCAAACATTCATTGGAATGTTGGGATATCTCATTGGACCAAATTTAAAAATTGGTTCCGGTATTTGATAGTATGTGTAAAAATGTGACAAGGGATTGAATGGGGTAAGCGGGTTTGCTCAGGCCTTAAAGGGATCAATATGAAGTTTGATTTTACATCAATAGTAGATTGCTTGTGATGTGATTTGGTTTTTACAATCCGAATTGGCAAATTTGGATTTATTGCCAAGTCGAGTTTACTGAACAGAAGGTGATGTTGCATCAGTAGTAAGTTGCTCATGATATGATGGGTTTAAAAAACTGGATAAGTCATGTTTTGCAGGTGGATTACGCATGCACACCTGAAGAAGTACAGCAGCATTTCCAATCATGTGGTACGGTTAATAGAGTGACTATACTGACAGATAAGTTTGGCCAACCGAAAGGTTTCGCTTATGTGGAATTTGTTGAAACTGAATCTGTTCAAGAGGCTCTCGGCCTAAACGAATCTGAGTTGCACGGCCGGCAATTGAAGGTAACTCATTCAAAAGCTGGGTCTGGATGTTCTTATCCATTATTTTTGCTATCGCGTTTGTTCATTTTCATCTTAAATATGTGTATAGGTTTTGCCTAAAAGGACGAATGTTCCTGGTATGAAGCAATACAGACCTAGACGCTTCAATCCTTATATGGGTTACCGCTTCAGGAGGCCATATGTACCTCCTTACTTTTACTCGCCCTATGGATATGGGTATGTTCCTTCCAGTGCTCTCACTCTCTATTTATCAGGTAAAATGAGATGCCAGATGCCTGATTTATCTTGCTTTCTTTTTCCTTTCATTCATCTGCAGAAAGGTTCCGAGGTTCAGAAGGCCAGCTCGATACATGCCGTATTACTAAAAGATTGGTTGCATAATCAAATACAAGGCCTGTCATTTCATATTTACAGTTGATTTTTAGTTTTAATCTGGTAGTTGTATCGATTTGGCGTTACTGCTAAGTACACTATGAACTGGATGAATAGCCACCTACCTATATTGCTGTTGAAGTAGCTAATAAAAGTTTCTTATTGGCCAAGCAGTGCGTAGTTTCGTTTCTTTTGTTTGGTTTATAAAAAAATTTCCTTCCATCCATGCAAGCAACATTTTTGGTATGCCTCTAAAATTGTGTTTTCAAGGGTCGAGCATCATTAGAGATGTACTAGGCTCAGTCGTTCACGTGCATACTGGAGGGTAACTAAGCCGTTGATGCATATTGGCCCATCTGTGGCTCTCAGTCATTGACGTGCGTGTGGGCGATTGAACCTAGCACTCATCGGCATTTTGGTGAGAGCATTTAGTTGTGAGCTTGTAGTGCATCTGTGTTTGAGTATGTGGGACTCGCATGTCACTTTTAAAGGCCCCTGGTATGACTTTGTGGTGTGTACGTCCGTGTTTGTGTGTTATTTCAAACCACACACTACCTGCTTCTTCGGTCCAGCTTTCCTTTCCCTCTTTAGGTGTGGGGCCCTGCCTAAACTCGTAACCTATTTTTTGTCATTCCTTTGATGTGTGGTTGTTGTATCCTGTCAAAAAGCACCCGGAAAACTAGGAAGGAAATGAGGTTAGCTTGTTGGTTGGACCGAATCTTAAATCAAAGATATGTTTTCAGTAATCGTTATGGACACTTTAAATTTTTCATTTTATATTTTTTATAAGTGTATTTTAAAGTATAAAAAATAATTTACTTCTTTTATTCTGTTCATTTCGGATAAAAATTTCAGTTTTAGTCTATGTAGTTCTGATTGTGAGAATTCACGGATGTGTCTCACTTTTGCATACGTAGAGGGCCATCTTAGTCTATAAGCATCTGCAGTTGTATAGATAATTGAGTACGAAAATAAAATTTAACGAGCTGTTGTATAACAGTGGATGTCCACTCAAATTATTAAATAATGGGCAAGTTGCCCTTCCACTATCTACCGAAGCTTGTTTCATACGACTCATGTTTTCTATATAAATACAACACCCCACACAACACAAATGAAATGAGGCAAAAGACACAAGGCTCACAGAAGAGGAAGAGAGAAAAGAGAAGAAGAGGAAGAGGAGAGGGGATAATAGAGAGTTATTTTGCACTCTTATTATTCTAAATTATAATGGAAGCATCACTGCTACTCCGAGAACATACTCCAGTCATACTGACCGTAGAGGAACCTCGTAAATTTTGTATCTTGTTTCTTTTATTCCACTGCACACATCATCGATTTTACAGCACGTTATTAGCACGAGAAACTCTCATGTCAGTGGAAAGGATGACGCCATAAATTCGGACAAACAAAAGTACAACAAAACAAGCAAAGGTATGTCCATTTTCTCGTCTCTTCCACCGTGCCAGAAGTGCCCCACTGAATTCCAGTGAGAATTGAAATTTACAACGACTTGTAGTCGTCACAAGAAAAGAAAACTCGTACTTGACAACTGGTTTTTAGAGATCCAGAAGAATCTCATCAGACTTGGAAACCCGAATCACGTCATTTTCAACGGATCTCAAGAACTCTTATGAATACTCGGTTGTCTGAGATGGTGATGGTAAGACTGACTCTACATAGGCCTCCCTCTCTTGTACCTCCATCAACCCCGATGTCATTTATGTTCCTATATGGAAGTTCTTGCTTCACGATGCCATGTTCTCTGGACCATGCAAGGAAAATTGAAGAAAACACGAGGATGGGAAATGGTATTCCTTATCTGGCCTCTCCCATGGAAAAAGTAACAGTCTGTGGGTTTTTGCAAAAAGAAAAAGGGGCAAAAGCAAAGGAATGATGCATCAACACATTTTGAAAAAGCATAAGACAAAATATTAAAATAAAAGGAAAAATGATGGTGCATCAAACACCATGTGGAAACCAAGAAAAAAAAACAAAGGTTTTTTGGATTGTTGCACCATGTGAATGAATAAGAAAAAATAATAATAATAAAAAAAGGGGGTAAAGGTTTTTGGATGGTGTTACACCATCTAAAAAGAAAGAAGGAAAATATATATTTATTTATGTGAATGGTGTTGGCTTCAAATCCTTTCATAAGTTCTATTTACTTTAAAGCAATTTATTTACCATGGACGCTTTTACCGCCTACTGCTTTAAGTTTTGATTTATGTGAATGGTGCTGAATTAAAGCCCTTGTCACAAGATTTATTTACTTAAATGCAATTTATTTACTATGGCTAGAATTACCACCTATTGCTTTAAGTTTACGTATTCTACTTATCTTTTATTACGATGAGTATATACAGGACCTGAAGTTCCTTGATCAGATAAGAACCTGCAGCTTCTTGATCCTCATCATATAAAATGTTGGATCTGAAGTTCCATCGTACAAAAAGATCGGGCATGAAGTCCCTTGATCCTCAAGATCAGGACATAAAATTCCTTGATGAGTACAGTAAGTTTGAAGTGCCGCAGTGCCTCAACTTAATTGTAATAAAAGTCATAAGAGTCTCAGTCTATAGACTATTAAATAAGGACCAGAAGTTCCTTATATCCATACTTAAAATGGCTTAGCAGAAATATTTATTAAGCGGATGAAATTTATTACCTGCGCTCTGCTCATGAAAACAAAATTGTCAAGTTTTCTACATGGTGACATGTCATGATGCATTATTAGTTTGGTTGGGACCTGTTTCCAACTATCAATACTTCTCAGTACAACTCATGTTTGGGAACTAGCCAAACATTATACATTTATGAGTTTTTTGTTGTATTATCTTTGTGCCTATTGCATTGCCACAACGTACTGAAATGAGGCATCATCGTAGATTGGACATTGACGTTGAACACCATCTATCATTCAATATTTGGAACCCTTGACTGAGGATATGTTTACCGCATGGTTTGCGGATTGTCATTTTGATAAGACAATTTTCTCGCTGTTAGGGGGAGAAAATAACTTTGTTCCAGAAGAACGATGAGAAAATATCATTCCAGAAGAATGATGAGAAAAGACCGTTCCAGAAGAATGAATAGAATTTGTCTTATTTTGATTCACGAAGCGATCAATGAGAAAATGAAGTAAGAATAATTGAATGATACCACGAAAGTGATGAAATCACATATACTTGCTGCAAATATGCCTACAAGAATTGATGTCCCTATTAGACAAAATAATGTGGCAGCAAATGATTTATCTATTGCATGCCTGAAGCGTGGCAAACCCTTATACTTAAAAGGTTCAGTCCTTCAAAAGAAGAAGAATATGACACTACTAAAACTATTGCATTCCTGAAGCATAACTGTCGCATGCCAGAAACATAACAGTTGCCGCAAGGATACTTGTCCCAAAAAGAACAATTCGTGGACATGAGAATGTTGATGTCTCATGCATGAAGCATGATAGACGTATAGGTTCCAATGACTCAACTCCCGAAGTGGAGATTAAAATCCAAACTCTATAACGCTCTAGAGGAGGTTATGATTTGTATTCTCTAAACTATGACTATCCTGGAAGAGATAGTGTAATGCCCTTGAAGAGGCAATGGATATCCAAATAAATAAAAAGTTTTTATGCATGCGCATGCACATGAGAATATGGGATCACGGATTGATGGTAACCAATGGTAATTTTGGTTTTTACAAGTAGCTACTAAGTTCATCAATGAGCTGTGTTGATATTGAGTCTTGTTCTTTTTTTCGTCAACAAAATTATTCGCCAAAATGGAGAAAGGCAATTCCATTACAATTTTGTGAGAACGTGGAAAAATAGACATATATACTTGAATAAAATATAAATAGCCAAAAGATGTTGAACCTAAAAGGTTACATATGAGCATTTGTAATACCATGAAATACACTCACATGATATGACGCAAGGTTATAAACAAGTTCATATGAATGGAGAATTATATACGAAGGGTTATGAGTCTCCCACATCATATCTCCATAAGTAAATCCCTCAAATATACATGGAAGCAAATTGCTTTGTATAAATTCCAAAGGAAAATGTGTCATGAAGTGTAGAAAATTCCTAAAGGATTCAAATTACTTGAAGTAAGCCCCGAAGGGTAAAGCATAAAAATATGTACTCAATACCAATGGATGGTATAAATTGCCTCAGTGAGTATTATCATTATGATATTGTTGCAACATACTAAAATCTCTTACAATAGTTGATGATATTAAATTGAAACTCCCAAAGAGTTTAGAAAGAGTATAAAGTGTTGAGAGAAATATTGTCTCAAACTGCAGATCGAACAATATGCCAACACGAATCTTATCCATGATGTTTATGATATTAAAGAATCGTATGGATTGAAGATTATGAGTTGAATACTCAAATGATGTAGACACTAAGAATGATCATTTATCTTCGTGAGGGTAAAGATAAATTGATATTTGGTCCAGAAGTACCACATCTTAGTGAAGTATATGCTTTATTGTATTTGACATAATACATTGAATGAAATAAAACTTATCTATTAATATCTCCGAGAAATTACATACATATGAGTTAAAACAAACAAACAGGATGAAGCCTTCACAAAGGTTGTTCATATGAAGCCTCAGTACTCGGCAGTACCCCAGAAGAGGCAGGCACTGGAGATTGATCATGTGACACCTCAGTACTTGGCAAAACACCAGAAGGGGAAGGCATCAGTTGCCTTCGAAATCTAGCAACGAACCTCTGGTGATCACTTTGAATCCGACTTTCGGATTCCTGTAGCTGGTTGAGATCTCTTTTCATGCTCGTCGAGTAATTATTTGCAAGCACGTGTAACACTCTATTCTCGTGCTTGAGCCCTCTGATCGCTTGTTTAAGACTTGCCACCTCAGCCATCAATGATTCAACTTGGTGAGTTCAAGCAAGTAGGCGTTGGCCCATATTGGATACAGAGCCCGCACATTGAACACTGAGAGCCAAGAAGTCTTGAACGACTGACTCATCAGACCGTTTTGAAAGGATTCTGTTATCCTTTGGAGTGAGAAGATTCCTAACCACCACAGTAGCGGTTATGTTATTCTTCATCACAGAGTCCCCAACCGTAAGAAGACCATTAGAAGATAAGAAGGACGTGCGCCATATATTATCCTGATGTTGCTCGTC